GGATTGCCTGCCAATTCAATACTCAAGGATTTATAAGTAAACAAAGGAACAAGAATCACAAACTGGGTTTCAAATGGTTCTTTCCAACAAAGATTGAACACACAGCAGCTACATAAATCTTCCTGAACACAGCCTGCTACATTTATTGTGGCCCTGCCATTTGCCTAGTGAGAAGCCTCATTGACTGCTATTGCTCTGCTTGCAGCTGTGTGTACTGTATCAAAGTCTGATGCTGATGACCTTCATTGACTGACTGCTCCAGCTGATTAGAAGATGCCTGTGATTGCTTGGCCTTCTTTGATGAATCATGGCTTGAAGATTCCAGAGGCTGACTATCCACTGACTGAGCTGCAGCAACATTGTCAGAACCAGAGTTTGAATCCAGATCCTGGCCCCTGACACACACCCATGAGAGAACTGAGTAAAGGCCCTTTTTTCTAATTGGAAGATCTTGTGGAGATGTCCATTTCCTGTACCTATCATCTGGAAAGCAGTACTGGTCCATCACATCTCCAAGATTCAAAATTCAGAATATTCCAATACTACTTCCCAAGACAGGAAATGAACCGGAAATGGCCAGACCCATTGGGAATAGTTTGGCCCAATCCAAGCTAGATGTGTTGCATTGTTGAATCCAAGAAAGGCATTCTCCTCAGAAATAATTCTATAATTATTGCTGTGAGAAACAGACCTAACAACTTGATGTGTTGATATGTTGATATTCCTCTTTCCTGCTGATTTTTGGACTCCATCCTTTCCTTTCTACTCATTTCTCCTTGTCTCTATCCAGATACTCAGTCTGTAAAAGCTAATCAGGAAGCTCTGGGTGTGATTATATTGGCTGGACAAAAGGCTGGAATGCAAGGGATCTGTAGATAGCTCTACTAAAGGATTAGCAGCTATGGCTAGAAAAACAGTCATAGTGGAACATACAATTGTCTGTATATTATGTGAGATGCTATCAAAGCAGCCTCAAATGCATCTATGGTTCAATTTCTTCCTGATGATATCACCTTCGAGTCTGAATTACTAATCATGAAATTCAAAACTTTAAATAACATAAATCCATCTCAAAAGTGCTGCTTGTAATATTGGATTAAACCAAAAACTCCAAGTAGCACCTCCCCCCACAAAAAAATTCCTTATTCTACAATGATCTAGGAAATCACAAAAAAAAATGTGTTTCTCAGGTTCTACAAAATGTACCCAAACATCAAAAGGTACAGCAAAAGGAAATAAAGTATATTTCATTCCTATAAACTGATCATAATTTCCAGAATGGAATTCTAATTAACAATTAAACTCAACCTGAAACAATTTGAACCATACACATAAAAATGTCAAAGCTTTATCTCTAAAGCATGCATTTCTACCACATTAACCCACATGCTAACAATATTGTGGTCACAGTTTCTCTAGCAAAATATTTTGTTTGTCAATTTGCAAAAGTCTGCAGTAAACTTAAGCTGGCACAGGATTAGGCAAGGTATCTAGTAACAAGGTGCAGCTGCGAAATATACAAACAGAATCAGATGTCCCTATTGTTTAAGTCTAAAAGGGCAGGCTCTTTTACATTCCCAATGCATTATTTCAGTTGATATGCTGAAAGTCTTGTTTGAAACTGGTGCAGCTTTTTAACAAAGCAAGAGGTGGAGAGTATATTAAGATGCATAAGAAATTGAATGTGGTAGATTCCAATCTAAACTGAAAGGAAGGAGGAGCAACAGACAGCATCTGAAAGAACTGAAATTCAGACTCTACTAAATCCAATCATTAATTAATCTTACCCAATGTTGAGTTATCCAGAAGATTGTGCACTTCCAAACTCTGCGTCATAGTTAAAACAATTAATGATGTGGAAACGAGTGTAACTTTGATTTTGGGTTTTACAGATTAGACTGATAGATCTTTATAGAAATGATTTGTTCATACTATTATGGAAAAGCAAAAAGCTATGATTTGATATTAATGCCTTATTTTACTGTAACAGAGAGAGTAGGAAGTCAATGTTTCTTTTTCTTTCCCACCCTATCTTTCTTCACTTCACTTCCCCCTCTCCCCCCATCTTCTATTTACTTTTGTATTTGATAATACTCTATAACCTAATTAAAAAAAATAAAGAGTTAAAACAATTGCAATGAGTGAAAATATACTAAAATGTGTACTGCAAAATATGAATGTAAACTGATGGATTAGCCCTGGAATTAGGAGAGGCCCATCCTGGTGAGAGTGGAGACATCCCAGGAAATTATGACACAGAGATATGCATGTGGTGCTGTGTGCCTGGCAGAGCAGAAAGAGACAAACAAATAAATGTTTAAGGTGGTCTGTCCACCTGATGTTCCATATAAGGTAAAGAATGTATGTTTAACCAATGAGATGTAATCATGCTATTTCTTTATCTTCTTGCTTTGAACTGTATAAAAGTAAATGGAAAACACTGCTCTTGGTCTTGGTTCCTTTGAGGCCGGAACCCATTTATCTATCTATCTATCTATCTATCTATCTATCTATCTATCTATCTATCTATCTATCT